ATCCATCACCAAGACGATCGCATTTACCGTTGCTACCAGCCGCACCAAAACCCTCTTGACTACACTTTGTGGTCGAAAGACTTCTGCAACGCGCTGTACGGCGACTCCAAGTGATTTGAGCCCAAGGGCGCAGGTGACGACTAGCTCATACTTAGACCCTGCGCTTTTTGTCTTAGCCTCACAATACGGCCACTGGCATCTTCCGAAGTGCATCCTGGATTATCCGGATGTTGTGGATGCCATTCGTGGCGAAGCTCAGCAAGTTCTCAAGGATCTCAGTGCTGCATTTAACCCGGCAAAGTCTGGGAACTGAGGAAGAGGCCCATGAGGAGACAGATCCAGGCTCTACAACGTAAGCTACGAAACCAAAATGACGCTGCAATTAGGATTGCATAAGCTTCGTTAGACCGAGCACCGACGAGATACCGCATCGAACAAAACACCACCATCTCCAAAGATGCCTTTCATGCTGCACTGAATACGTACCGCGACTGCATGCCCAGGCCTGTTGCTGTAACCAAGACTCGGCTTAGACTCCCAAGTCCAGAATGCCGAGACGTCTTTCAGTTACTTTCCCGTCTGCTCAACCCATCACCCCGGCGGGTGAGTAATGAAGAACTTCGAACATTTCGCGAAGCCCAGCTGATATTTCAGCAGGTTTTCAAAGCCCATCAAGGAGCTATCATGGGTGATACTGGCTGTCCTACAGGAACACCTTCCCTGACAGTCAACGAGAGCTGCTGGGCACGATTGACAAGCGTCTAACATCAGACAACCAAGTTTTGCTAAATGCCACAATTTCTGGAGCTGAACTCACCGACGCGCTCAAGCAAATGAAAGTCATTTCCGCGCCCGGCTTGGATGGCCTTACAGCTGGTTTCTACCACGTCGCAGCTGATGATTTTGGAAAATGCCTGAAATAGTTTTAAAGTACCAGCTGTCGCGCGGTGAGCTCCTCCCTTCCCAGCGCAAGTCATATGTGTGCATGTTACACAAGAAAGGCTCCAGAGATGATCTTGGCAACTTCCGTTCAATCTCACTCATTGGTGTTGATGTAAAGGCCCTTTCCGAGGTGCTGATTTATCGCCTTCAAACATTCTTCCTTAACTTATACATGGCGATCAGAAGGCTTTTGGGAAGGGTCGGTCTATACATCATTACGTGCGCCTTATGGTGGATTAGCAGGAACTGCTCGCAAAGTGGAAGTCTATGCCATGGTTCTCGACTTTGAGAAGACATACAACCTGGTCAATCGGGACTATACGTTTCAGGTGCTCGACCGCATAGGCTGCGGTGGCGCTTTCACTGATTGGGTGAAGCTTCGTTATACGAATCGACAGGCACACCTCATACTTTTCCTTATGGCCATCAAACCGCTGGGAAATCTGCTCCGGCAACACGAAGAGCGCGGGTTTCACATCACCGGTGTGATTTGAGAAATGGTCAGAGCCTTTGATATCGAGTGTTCTGATTTGAAGCATGTACTTCATACATTGT